AACACAGGTTGAACTGTGTGGGTCCACGTATATGAGGGTCTCCTTCCACCCCTGCTGCCCTTGATAAGACAGCCCCGCCGCCGCCGCCTGCTGCTCCCCTCAGCTGCTCAGCGTGGAGACACAAGGGTGAAGACCTTTGTGGGGATCCACTTCCACCTCATGAACAGCAGACATGTTTGCTCTTCCTTATGGTTTTCTCAATGACATTTTCCTTTCTCTAGCTTACTTCATTGTAAGAATACAGCATCTAATATATATAACAAACAAAACATGTATTAATCGACTGTTTATCAGCAAGGCTTCCAGTCAATAGTAGGCTATCAGTAGTTAAGTTTTGGAGGAGTCAAAAATTATATGTGCTTTTCAACTGTGCAGGAACCGGTTCCCTGAACCCTGCTTTGTGCTAAGGATCAATGGTTAATAAAACCACTGGAATGTGCACTCTAAATGGGTGAATTCTATGGAATGTGAACTATAATATACTTCAACAAAAGGAAAAATGTAGCAATAAGCATCTTTGTACATGTATTGTTGCATACTGGAGATTTTCTCAAGGACAGATTCCCAAATGTGATATTTCTGTGTCAAAGGTCTATTGGGTTTTTCTCCCCCTAAACTTTTAGACATTGCTAGGTTATTTTCCAAAAGTGGTACACTAATTCACACTCACAACAAAAATGTATTGACAGTTTTATTTCTCTAAATTCTGTCTGTCCCACTGTTTTTAATATTTGCCAAGAGGATGGGTGAAGACGACACCATTATTATTTAAACTACATTTCCCTCTTTCATTTTCTTCTTTTCATATTCATGTGTAATTTGGATTTCTCCAACTATAAACTGCTAAACTGATTCTTTGCCTATTTTGTGTTTGTTTTTTTTAACCAAACTTGTATAATTTATTCACATAATCAAACTCCATTTCAAAGCTTACAAATTTCCCATTTCTGTCCATTTTTCTCTTCTCAACATTACTACAAATGCCTCCTTCCCCAGCATCTGTTACATCATTTCTAGGAGGGTCTCTGGGAAGAGGTGATGTTTACTTTACTTCAGAAGCACACTGATAACTCCAATATTACCATAACTTGTACCCTCTGACTTTTTGAGATGTGCTTCTTTTTGGCATAACAACAACAACAAAAAACCCATAAAAACAAAAGCATACCACTGGATACTGAAAAACTAAATTCTGGGCCTGGCTACACCATAAACCATACCGTAGGTCAGGTGTCCTCCCCAAGCACCTATTTCTCAACAGCAAAAACTAATTCATATTTGCTTAGTCTTTTGTAGCCTTTTACTATTTACCTTCACTGTAACCTTTAAATAAGGGAGTATTATGTTTATTATACAGAAGAAACTCAGGCTCAGAAAGGTTACAGTCCACCCAAGAGCCCACAGATAATAATATATGAGGCAAAGCTAAACTTACACAATGTCGCTCAAGATCCTAGTACTGGTACATATTATTCTCCTGAGTTTCTTAAATGGATGAAGCAGCAATTTCCAAAGTCCCTTCCAATGATTACTTTCTATGCTTCCACTTGCTATTTTTTCCCTGTCTCAACTAACATTAAAATCAGAATATATATATATTTGATCACCAAATTTCTTTACCAAAATTCTTCAACTGTTTTTAAAAATGTTCTCATACCTCTATACTAAATCTAGAGTAAAATAATTTTGTCAAATAGTTCCCATTGCTCCATGCCTCTCTGAAAGGTTTTAAACTTACCTATTTGTTAAAGTACGGATTGCTAACATTTTATAAACATTGCTAATTACTTTTTATAATATTAAAGATAGTCATTCCATACTTAAAACCAATTCAAAAAAAAGGAAATCCTTGCTAATTCTAATTCCTTGGAGTAGCAATAAAAATGTATTTTCTACTGATTTTGTATCCAGTCCCCCACCTGCCTTTATTTGAGAAATACTATTATTCTACCTCACTGTTGAGCCTCTCTTTCCCTACAAGAAATGTTATAGGTTTAAAAGTCAGGAAAACTCTTACTTTCAAAACTATCCATAGGAAGAATGAACTAACCACCTAAATTGTAAGGTGAAACTTTGAATGTTAAATGACAGATTCAGGACATTTCCCAAAGGGCCATATAACCAACTTAAAAGCTGATATGATTTGCCTAAAATAATACATTATTTTATTTATAATAAACTTATAGATGTGATTAGATATGCTGACATATACATATAAACCATGCCTAAACCAAATTAAAGCTTAAAAGAAAACAAAATATATTCTATGAGCAATCCTGAAAAGCCAGCACAGCTCAATAAATAGTATACTCTTACAAGGGAGCATTAATTACTTGGTAATTTATGTAATATGCTAAAAATGAGGAAATATACATGATATAGGGATGGGGAGAACACATAGGAAAAGTAATTTCTTGATTTTCTTCATTTTGAACTTATGGCTTTCTTGTCTTTACAAAGGAAGACTTTGACTTCAAAAACAACAAAATATTTGAGAAGGGAATTTACATCTGTTTGTTCTAAATGGTATTCTTGTGCTATTTTCTGTTTCTGGATGAAGTTTATGATTATTGAGAAGTGTTAATGCCTCTACAATGGAAATTTCCCAATGTCTTTGGGAATGTTCTTAACATTCATGCTAACATGATGGTCTTTCTGCAATCTGAATTCCTTTGGCTCTTGACGTGTTTCAGCAGCTTTTACCTGTGCAGAAAACACAGGATCTTTGGAATCTACATGCACATCTTTTAGTAATGACCGCAGCTTGTCATCTTTTCTAGTAATTTCTTCCGTAATTTCTGGTGGCTGCCAATCTGCTCTCGCAGGAGGCTCTTGGTGAAGGGTGCTTGGGAGCAGCAGAGGGTTTCGTTTTGTTGATTTCTCTTTGTGCTCGGTTCTGTGGGTTAAAATTCCTGATGGCGCAAATCACCAAAGCCCCGATCTTGCCATGACTTGATGCCCACCTCTCTGCCTATTTTTTTTATTAAGTTGTTTGTCTTTTTCTTAACAATTTATGAGAGCTCTTTATACATATGAAGTATTAACCCATTATGCATCTTATGCATTCCACCTTTACCACCCTTTTTGTTTATGGTATCTGTATCTTTAAATGTCCATTTAGATCATTACAATATGGTTTGAGGAATTTGAAAAAAAAACAAGAAATAACCAAGACTACTTCATACCTCCTCTTTTCTTAAACCCCCATACCCAGCTCTTGACTCTCGCTGTTAAAATAGAAGCCTTCCAGTCTCACTGGAGACAAGTGATATCTTATTGTGGTTTTGATTTGCATTTCCCTGATGATTAGAGATGTTGAACATTTTTTCACATGTTTCTTAGCCATTAATCTGTCTTGCTTTGAAAAGTTTCTGCTCATGTCCTTTGCCCACTTTTTGATAGGGTTGTTTGATTTTTTTCTTGCTGATTTTCCTATATAGATTCTATATAGATTCTAGTTATCAGCCCTTTATCGGATATGTAACATGTGAATATTTTCTCCCATTCTGTAGGTTGTCTGTTTGTTCTCATGATGGTTTCCTTGGCTGTGCAGAAGCTTTTTAATTTGATCAGGTCCCATTTATTTATTTTTGTTGTTGCTGTGATTGCCTTTTGGGTCTTCTTCATAAATTCTTTGCCTAGGCCAATGTCTATAAGAGTTTTTCCAGCATTTTCCTCTAGAATTCTTATAATTTCATGAAAACAATAAATGCTGGCATGGATGCAAAGAGATAGGAACACTCATACATTGCTGGTGGGACTGCAAACCAGTACAACCTCTGTGGAAAGTAATATGAACATACCTCAAAGACCTACTAGTAGAACTACCATTTGACCCAGCAATCCCATTACTGGGCATTTACCGAAAAGAACAAAAGACATTCTATAAAAAAGACATCTGCACTAGAATGTTTATAGCAGCACAATTCACAATTGCAAAGATGTGGAAACAACCCAAGTGTACATCAATACATGAGTGAATCAATAAAATGTGGTATATTGATATCATGGAGTACTATTCAGTCACAAAAAGCTATGGTGATCTAGTACCTCTCCTTGTATTATCCTGGATAGAGCTGGTTCCCATTCTTCTAAGTGAAGTATCCCAAGAACGGAAAAACAAGCATCACATGTACTCACCATCAAATTGGTATTAACTGATCAGCACTTAAGTGCACATAGAGTAGCAACATTCATTGGGTGTTAGGCAGATAGAAGGTGGGAGAAGGGGATGGATATATACACACTAATGAGTGCGGTGTGCACCATCTGGGGGATGGACACGCTTGAAGCTCTGACTTGGGTGGGACAAGGGCAATATACATAATCTAAACATTTGAACCCCCATAATATGCTGAAACCTAAAAAAATTACGAAAAAAATAAAATTGATTTATAATAAAAAAAATAGCAGCCTTCCAAAAAGAAGGCCCTTCTCTCCCCACCACCAAATACACCAACCTGCCTGAATCTGTGCCCACCTGTGCTGCCCCTTAAATTCTCAAAGTGATCTTTTTTGGAACCCAAGTACTCTCCCCTTTGCATAGTTCCTTGAGATTTGAATTCAAACTTCTGGCTGTGTGCCATCAGTTACCCCCCAAACTTAGGAGGCATCAAAAACACTGGGTGAATTGAGTGGACCCATTAGGGTCAAGACAAGTTAGGGACTGCTCAAAGATATAATAAATCTGTTTCCTATATCAGCAAGACTAGACTTGATGGGGTCTGGTCAAAACTCTAGAGCAGCGTTTCTCATACTTCTTCTTTTGGTCCCAAGACCTCTTTACGCCCTTAAAAATCAAGGACCCAAGAGATTTTTTGTGTATGTAGTTTACACGCACACATTTTTACTGTATTTGAGATTAAAACTAAGTTTTAAAAATATTTATTCATTAATTTATTTTAAAATAACAATAAACTCATTACATATTAGCATAAATATTTTATGAAAAATAACTATATTTTCTAAAACAAAACAAATAAGTGAGAAGGGTGGCATTGTTTTATATTTTTGTAAACCTCTTTACTGTCTGGCTTGATGGAAGGCAGTTGGATTCTCATATCTGTATTGCATTTAATCTGTTGTAATACATTGTTTTGCTTTAGGTATTTAAAGAAAACCCAACCTCACACAGATATGTATTTGAGAAGGGGTATATTTTAATTGCCTTTTCAAATAATTGTGAATATTCTTCTTTGATACTACATTGAAACCTGACAAGTGGCAATCTTTTAAAGATTAGTTACAAAATGGAATCTGAAACCCTATCAGTGAACTTTTTAACTCTTTGACAAAAATCCACTGGTCTATCTTGCATGATTTTGTGACATTATACACTGGTCATTTGGAAAAATTAGTTCAATGAAGCACAGAGATTTTCTAAATGTGACACATTTCGTTATGCAAAATTTTTCACAAAACATTCGCTAATATCACCACTGATTTGAGCTGAAAAGCCTGTACGTTTTAGTAATCTATCAAGCTCACAGTGCTAGATACAAGTCTTACAAAAGTCTATGTTTTACTAGAATGCCCAAATTTTACCATTGGCAATAAATACAATAAGTTATTTCTTCCCTTGAAGTGACAGGCTCACTTCATTGGTTTTTTAAGAAAAAGTCCACTAAATACCTGAGTCAGAATAACCATAGTTTTCCAGTCATTCTTTCAAGTAACAATGGTGTTGTGTGAAAAAGCAACTAATATAGCTAGCACCTCAAACAACTGTACATGTGCTATGTTGGAGACACCTCTGGTAGCTGAACATGCAGTGGAAGGGACTGATGTGTACTTCCTTCCTGTTTTGTCACATAGAGTATTCAAAAGATGTTTCATAAAAGTAATGGTTTCTACTTCTTCACCAAAACGATCTTAAGGAAAGCTGGCTTGTGTTTGCTGGGAGGGTGTGGTAGTGAAGGATGCAGTAGCCACAGCACAGCTCAGCCTCGCTGCCTCCACGTGTATGACATCTGCCACTTGACCCACCACCGCAGCACACCAAGTGTCAACACAGTCGTCCAGAATAAACCAAGAGATCCAAAAAGATTTTCATCACTTTGAGTTCATCAGCACCGCGTGTATTTGTGACCCAGCAAGCCTATCAAAGAAGCTTCCTTTGATGAGTCATTGATCTGATACCAAATGAATACAAATGAGGCAGTAAGTCCAGCCTTCAGTTATCAGCTAAAAGGTACGATTTGCAGGCTACATACTAACTCAGGCTTCATGCTCGCAGCTGAGGATTTCATTGAGCAGGTCGTAGCACGGCTGCACAGTGGCAGTGCCACAGCTTCTTTGGTGCCCTTCGACCAGCAGACAGTGAGCAAAGCCAGCTGCACAGGGCTTCTTTCTCCTCCCAGCTGCCGTGGGTACTTGGCCCGCCTGTGCAACACGATCGCTTCACTCAGCGAAATGCTGCCGAGGCTCTTTCCTGTCTCCTTTGAAATACTGTAACAAACAATTTTGGGGTTTTAAAGGAACTCATTATGTCTATGTTTAAAATGCTCAATTCTGGTTTCTTTAAACTCTGAATAATTGGTCTAAAAATGATGTCACAATTATGTAACTAGCACCATGATACAATTTGAATTACTTTCCCTTGCATAAGACACAATAAGGTAAATTCTTAACATCTATAGAGCTGATGTTTGTCACATTTTTATTTCCAATTTCTTTGATTAGATTTATCTTGTAATGAGTAAGACAATTCCCTGAGAAATCAATTCCATCCTACTCAGCATAATCTAGACAGTACAGCTGCAACTGAGAAAACAAATCTTCCAATCTTCTGTTTTAAAGCCAATGATCCACCTTCAAATGTAACAAAAATGCATTGCAAATAAATTTCATTTTATTTTAGAAAAAGATATTAGATTCTAGAATAGTAACATTTTAGATAAAATTATAAAATGTAGAAAAGTTTCCAGAAAAAATTAAAATATTATTGAAACAAGACAAAAACTCTATTTACTTTTGGTTGTATTTCTGCATAGGTGCAAGGAAACTGTTGGGACTTCAAAATAACAATTTATAAAGATTATAGTAAGTTTAGGGAAGATACCAGGAATATAGTCGAAGTACTGAGAACAAACTGAGGTAATCTCTGAAAATGTAGATATGTGTACATCAACCCTACTAACTTGGAAAATTCTAGAGAACATAAAAATACACAAGCATACATTCCATGAGCCATTGTCCCATAGCATTTAGCCTCTGGGAAACCCTGCTGTGATGAGAGAGTGACGATGAGAGGGGCAGATATTGTCTTAGTATTATTATGAAAATAATTTCAACCTTGCAGACCACCCAAAAGAGCCACAGAGACCCCAGGGATCCACAGACCACATTGTGAGAACCACTATTCTAGGGGACTCCCTTTGGAAGCTTAAAAAATACTGGATTGTACTGGTCTTGAATGTGGCATCCAGGAAAAGAAGGAAGAAAATCAAGGCATGGGAAGCTGGGCTTTCCGACAGCCTGTGGGGCTCTATCCAGGCATAGGCGGTTGATTCTTGGAACAGGAAAAGTCTCGTCCACGCTCACGCTGCCAGGCCTTCTGCAGCTACAGGCATCCACGGCGGAAAAGACATTCAAGACAGCCGGCACGTCCTATCTGCTTCTCTGCAGCTTTCCCCTCCATTCCTGGGGACATGTTCCACTGCACTGTCAACCTCTCACATGTGCACGCCATTCTGGAGATGGGTCATAAACATTTGAACTATATTGGCTCAATAATGGGGACATTCTGGCTCCAGGCTGTGCTGAACTTTGCCCATTCCAGAAATATCCCGTAAGACATTCCCAAGGCACTGAGTGATGCAAACCACATTTATCCACTTACCATGGACAAATATGTGACTGCAAAGCAGAACCTCAACTTCTTCCCAGATAAAAGAGATGATGTGAACAGCGCTCGCAGTACAAAGTCTCCCTTTCCCCTTACTTGAGAATGCCTTCCCCTGGCTAGTGATGGACTCTTTCAGTGTTAAGAATAATGTTGTTTAGAATTAATATCAAGTACCACCTCTGCAAGCTGCCCTTAAACATGGGGTCAGGGAAATAAGGTCCAGCAGATGGTGTCATTCCCATGCTTCAGGAGTTGCAAATGTCGTAGTAACAGGCTGCAGTAAAGGCAGTGGCAACGCTTCTGCCTCGTTTATCGTGCCACGGTCGCCAAGCATTGGCATTATCCTGAACATACTTTTTAAAAATTGTGTTGTATCTGGCCCTAAAACCAGATGACAGTAGGCTGACATTTAACCCAATCTCCATAAGCACATTTCGCCTTTCTATTTTATTAGGGAGCTTTCTATCTGGATTAGTCTGCTCCGGCTGCCGTAACACAGCGCTGCAGACTGGGGGGCTTAACAACAGACATTTATTTCTCACAGTCCTGGAGGCTGGAAGTTGAGATCAAGGTGTGTGCAGGGCTGGCTCTTCTGGGGCCTTTCTCCCTGGCTGGTAGACAGCCGCCTGCCCCTGTGTCCTTCCTGGTGTGTGTCTGTGTCCTCGTCGGCTCTTCTAGTGAGGACACAGTCAAATGTCATCACAGCCCATCCTAGAGATCTCATTTTAACCTAATTGCCTCCATTTATTTATTTATTTATTTATTTATTTATTTATTTATTTATTTATTTATTTATTTATTTTATTTCGGCATATTATGGGGGTACAGATTTTAAGGTTTCAATAAATGCCCATTCTAATTGCCTCCTTTAACACCCTAGCTCCAAATACAGCCACATTCTGAGGTCTGGGGTTTGGGCTTCAACATAGGAAGTTTTTAGGAGGACACAATCCAACCCAGAACACTGTCTGCTATCCCTTCGTGCTCCCTTAAATCTTTCCCGTGAGGGCTGGGGCAGTAAATATATATATATATATGCCTTTTTCACTCCTGAATCGACAGCCCCTTAGCAAAGATTCCTAGCAAGTAGCCATAGTTTCATAAATATTTGTTGATGATATGAAAGTTTGGGGGGGTTTTGTCTTTTTATTTTTATTTTTTTGATACAGAGTCTCACTCTATTGCCCAGGCTAGAGTGCCATCGTGTCAACCTAGCTCACAGCACCCCCAAACTCCTGGATTCAAGTGATCCTCCTGTTTCAGCCTCCCAAGTAGCTATGACTACAGGCACGTGCCACCGTGCCTGGCTAATTTTTTTCTATTTTTAGTAGAGATGGGGTCTCACCTTTGCTCAGGCTGGTTTCAAACTCCTGAGCTCAAGTGAACCTCCTGCCTTGGCCTCCCAGAATGCTAGAATTACAGACGTGAGCCATGGCACCTGGCCAAAAATATGAAAGTTTTATAAATGTTCACTTGTAGATCCACCAGCATCGCAAAGATGAAAAATATTCAAACCCCCAAAATCCTATTCTGAAGTGACTCAATTCTATAATTTCATAATAACAAATAATCACTTATTCTCACACAAAGTACCCCAAAGCATCAGACCCAAAAGATTACTGCATGATACCATTATTAAGCTTTAAATTATTTTCTGAATGACAACTCAAAATAATTCTGTGAGTTTATTTAATGCCTTTACCATTTTTTTGAAGGTAAGACAACTAAATACACTTTTTTCATTATAGAATAAGGTTTAGGACCAATTTACCATCTTGATTACTTAGTACCGTTTATTTTAAATTGTGCTGTATGTGGCCTTCCATATTGATAAGCAATTCTGTGTGTGAACACACATTTTCACAAACCATAGCATGTGCAGATTAAAGGAAAATGGTTTTTGGTCAAAATTTCCCACATATGCTATCACACTATTCAATATCATATGTAAATGAGCTCCTTTAAAGGGTAAATGTTTAAAGCAGGAAATTAGCAAATCTGGGTTGTTGGGTTGTCTCTCTCTCTCTCTCTCTCTCTCTCTCTCTAAGTAGAAAAACGGATGCTTCTCAAGGCATACAGCAAAGCGGGGACATTTATGTCTTCCATTCCATGAACTCATAAACATCTGCATTTGCATCTGGAGCTGTATGGCCTGTGTATCTAAACTCAAATTCATCCACACACTGTATCTGGAAAATTATTCATCAAAAGGAAAAGTATCACAAAATGTAGCTGGCTTCTTGAAGGTCATGGAAAAATTCTTTAAAAAAATAAATAAATAAAAAGTTGTTCTGAACTCTGCAGAACTGGCAGGAAACTTAAGAAGTCTAGGATTTTTCTCTGCTGACTTTAGTCTTCTTAAATACCATGGAGCCTTAAAATACCTTCACTGGGGGCAACTGAGAGAAACAGAAATAGCAGCATTGTGTCAGCCTCAGTGGACCTGCTCATAGAGCGGTCTGCAAACAATCTCTTGTGCCACATTTAGGGAAAAGCACAATTTTAGGAAATCCAAACAACCTGTAAACCCACTGACCTACAGATAACCTATTCAGCAACAATGAAACTTGAAAAAAGATTTCACTTGAAAAAAGCAAAAGGGAAAAGAAACAAAGGAAAAAAAGGCTTCCCTATCTCAGGAACTAAGTCCATGAAATCTCAGATATTTCAAACCCCTGCCTTAATGGGTCTGCTCTGGTTTTGAAGGCTTACTGGGGTGACTGTCCTGCCGCATGTAAGCAGCTGTGGGGGAGCGCTCAGCACTGTGGCCCCAAGTGCAGGAATGCCATGGTGTGACTGACACAGAGTCGCACTCGCCAACAGCAGATAAGCTGTGCCTTGAATTTCAGCTCAAAGGCACAGAGGAGCATCGCCAAGATTGTTTGCTAAATGCTCACCCACTGCAGGAGATCGTGCAAAGACAGCAGCCGTGGAGCCTGCAGGTCTTCCCCGGGCTGAGAGGACACCCCAGAGAGAAGAGACCCACAGTCGCCCCCATGTCCCATCCACAAGAGGCGAAGATGCAGGCCCAAGAGGGGAAGAAACCCAAATGCGTGTGGAGTTCCCCTGGAATCCTCCTCCTGCTTTATGAAAAGGCAGACGGCCAGATGACCATTTCATCCAAATTTCATTTAAAACAGAAAGTATTTGAAAATCTTGTTTCTATATCCAAATTGTAATGGCCTAGGAAAGCAAGAAACCCTTTATTTGTTTGTCTGTTTGTTTAACTTTTCTATTCATCCTAAGGACAGGAGAAACTTTTTTTAAAAAATAAGGAATTTAGCCAACTTTCATCAAGGTATCTAAACCAAAGCAAGGAGGGCAGCTCTAGGCCTTGGAATAGCACCCTGAAGAACCAGTGTTCTCTCCAAATCAAAACAGGAGAACAGGAGACTTTTTTGCTGAAGCCTTTTTACATGAGAGGAGTTTGAAGCAAAGATGAGGATGTCGAGTAAAGTTTGTCCAGCAAAGAGAAGAAGCTGGACAATCGTTGGTTGTATCATCAGTGGCCCAAAACAACAGGACAAAAGAGGGAACAGGCCCCTCCAGGCTGTACCTTGTGGCGGAAGCCCAGCACCAGTGACGCCTCACCCTTGCAGGTCCACCTCCGAAGGAACCAGGTGTGCAATATATGACCAGCCCAGGGAGAACCCACAATGGCCCGATCCACAGCAGCCAGTGCTGAAGGGGGACCCCAAGGCTCCAGTGTTCCTCACCTCACACCTCCCACACTCTGGACACCCTCATTCTGGTGAAAGTGAGTCCTGAGCCAGGTGACCTCCCACCCACACTTCACCAAGATGCTGTCTGATTGCAGCCCCTAAAGCACAGGCCCTGGGGCAGACATTTCCTATTTTAAAAGGAAAATTGTATAATCGTGGGATTGTAAAACACAGACCTTCTGGATGGCGTTTTAAATAAGAAGCACTCTCAAGTTGGGAAGGAGGATTTATGCTCGCTGAACAATAAGCCAATGTTTATATTTTAAGCAGTTTATATGTAATTATTGGACATTTTGTGACCAATAGCCTGCCCTATGTAGAGAAACCATAAATCCATTCCCTTAGTCCCTATTAAATTATAAAAATTAAACCAGATGGATCACCAGTGCTTCGTGGACACCAATGAGATTCACTTGCATACACTCCCACCATTATTCCAGCACTCCTGGTCAGTGGCCAGAGACCCTGGGGACAGGAAGACCAAGCTCGACAGTAGAAAATCCACACTCCGGCTCCCTCTGTGCCTTCTTCACTGTGGGTTCTAAAACAAAGCTTCCTCCACTCATAAGAAAATTATGTTTTCTGTCCTAATTTCTTTGAAACCTTTTCAACCTCACCCAAAAAGGCATGATAAGAATTAATTCTTCATCATCAGTTTCCAGCCCTTCCTCCTTCACTTATTTTTCAACTTATATTTTCTTCCCTTGTTCAAATAAAATTTCCAAAATTTCACAGGTCCTAGGCTGGGGACAAACAGCAAGAGGAAAGGTAGAAGTCAGTAGGCTTTGTCGAAGAGATCTGAAAAGCTAGCTCTTATTCTGTCTTGCTCTTAGATCAGGACTACATGGCTTCTTCAAAAACCACCTTGCACCCACAGCTAAAATTAAGAATGTTCATGAACCAGGCTTTGTGTAATCTGACTGTATCTGATTCTAACAATCCTCAGCGTGGGGAGGGGGTGAAGAAATTACTTGGACCATGAAAAAGCTTCCTCACTGAAGACAGGAAAGGCTAGGAAGGTTTTATGGTCAGGTTTATAATAGCACTTTTGGACAGGGATGGGCTAGTTGTTGGCCCCAGGCTGTGCTGCCAATAAAAACACTGTGTGGCCTGCTGTTTTTAAGTGCCATAGACCTATGATGTCAGAATTCATTATGCACACAGGGGCTATTTACTGTCTTATAAACTAGGAGACAAGGAAATTGTTGGGTAAAAAAATGGTCTCCAAAGCCTAAATGCAATCATTCCTTGAGCAGTACCCTCCAAGGACCAGCAAGCACATCTCCAAGGACCTCTCCAGACAAAAGCAAAGTACTACGTCTAGAGTAGTAAAAAGTCTTCCTGCACTAGTTCTATTTTGAATACTTATGCTGCATCTGAGCCAGGGCTGGGCCAGGTCAAAGGGTGCTTAGTGTGTATCTCTAAGGGAAAGACATTTGTCCACGCCTTGCCTTGTCTCTTGGCTGCACCCAGCAAACACTCAACAAGGCTAAGGTGAGAAGGGGGAGGAGGAGAGATAAGAGATCAGGAGAGATAAGGGTGAGACCAGAGAGACCAGAAATCCCAACGTCATTAATCTTCACTGCATGAGGGCATGCAAATAACCCCACACTAAGGCCAACTCTCTAAAACCTGGCTTAGATTGACAATGTTTATAAGGCACCACCATGCACTAAATGCTGTCAGAGGCACGGCACCCAAAACTGGGGCCTGACATCTAGCAGATACTCAAAAAATATTTGCTGAATGAATGATGAGCAAGGAAATGTCATTCCTATTCTCCAGCCTGAAGATGGCAAACAAATCCAAACACTGTCCTTCTGGGAGGGAATTCATTGCCTTTCCCAGGCCCTTCAAAAGTAGTGAGTACTTACTGAACTAACAGCCTCCCACTGCTCTTCCCCTCCTTTGAGAAGTTGATTTCTTTGTATTCAGCATCCATTTCTGGTTCTGTAAGTAAGACAATAAGAAATAAGGGATTCTTCTTTAAGATAATGAATTATATCTGTATCTATCTTAAACCCATGGCCAACATAATACCTAATGATTAAACACCAGGAACATTCTCATTAAATCAAGGGGGCAATAAAATACTATCACTGATATCATTTACCACTGTCTAGATGTTCTAGCCAATGCAATAAAACATGAAATATAAATAAGAGGTACAATGCTTGGCACTATTTCCCCAAAACATGTTCCCTGGAATACTACTTTTCTAGAATGTTAAACAGAGTCAAACAGTTTCTTTGCTGTAAGACTTCTCAAAGACTTAAACAGCCAACATTCAATATGAGTCTCTCCAAGAAGTAAAACATTATCCAGCGTTTCTCAACTCTTTGAACATTGTTTTGTTTTGTTTTGTTTTGTTCCCAAAGGATTTCAAAATCTCATGTTCCTTGGTACACTCTTTGGGAAACTCAAACTAAATCTATTTTTGATCTTCAGATGTTTTCATTTATGAATGTAGTCAAATATATTAATAGCTATCACCTGTAAATGAGAGCAGTTGTTAAGAAGAAGGGCTTTAGAGTCAGAAAAACCTGGGTTTTAATCCTACATCTCCTGACTAAGGGACTGAGGGGAGGTGGCTTTGTCGTTCTTGACCTTCGATTTTCTCATCTGTAAAATGGAGATCATGATATCTCCCTTATAAAACATTGCAAATATTAGATTATATGATACTTGGCAAACTGCTCACCCTTAGGCATTTTTCAAAATTCTAAATACAACAACGAGATTCTACCTGTTATGAAGTGAAGCCGGGAGTGATGGAGCCTCTCTTACCAGGGCTGGTGAGGCTGTAAACTATTACAACTGTCAAAAGAATAATTTGACAGTTTAATCAAAAGCCTTAAAATTACAGATAATTATGATTTTACTTCTAAGAAACAAAAAGATGACATTTATTGAAGTTTTATAGTAATGAAATACTGAAAAGAATATAAATCAATAACATACTAGTGAAATCACTCACGTTACAGGTACTAGATATTTGCCACTTGTTGGATGCCCTTTGGGGCATTTCCTATTGTGTATAGGCTAAGACTGCTACTATCTGGAAGGCAGTGCCTGCCAATGCAGAAATCAACAGGGCAGAGCCCAGAAGGCCCCGGGGCAGGCATCCAAGGCAGACATGGCATCAGCCACTGTCTCCACCCCAGCGCCATAAATCTTGTGCGAGTGAAAAATTATTAGTTTATAAATTATAAGTCTTCTAGCTATTGCCTATTGTGTGTGTGTGTGTGTGTGTGTGTGTGTGTGTGAGTACACGTGTGTAACATCAATGTTTTTCTAACTCTTACCAGAGGTGTGTCTATCTTAGGATTCCTTTCAAAGAAAAATCTTTTTGTTCTATAAATTTTCTCAATATTGCAGTGAGATTTGGCCATTTCATTGATTTCTGCCCTTGTCTTTATTACATCCTTCCTTCTTGAATGCAGAAAACATTTGCCATCCACCCCTACCTCCTCCCTCATGTCTTGGAAGTTTTCTGCATAATGAGCTCTGTCTCCTAAGGTGAAAGCCAAAAACTCATCTTCCCAGTCTCCTGTAGTTAGAATGCACACAAGCAACCCAGACTCTGCCAACAGGACCCACCCATGTGAGACTTCTGCTGGAGAGAGAGCAACATGAAGAACTAGGCACCATGCCTGGCTTGTAGAATCTCCTTTCTTGACCAGGGTGACCTCAGGGGATCCTGGCATCTGACAGCCAGTGCTGGGTGGTGCTGGGTTGTGGCAGTGACTATGGAGCGGGGGTCTTTCTCCAGCTGTTTTTTGGTGGAGTTCAGAGTTATTCATGGTGATGCAGATTCTAAAACTGACTCTATGGCCCTCCCAGGAACTAGAGCATCTGTAAATGCATAGTAATAAATGCATCTTCTGCTGAATCTAGCCAGCGTGGGCTCTGTTGCTTCTAAGCAAGAACTCAGACTAATATATTGTTTCTTTGGATTTGTTCTGCTGTCTTTGTTCTACCTTCTGGAGAGGAACATTAGCTTCTTTGTTACCATTGTTTCTTAATTTCTGATCATTGATTTCAAAGCTATAAATTTCCCTGTAAGTAATGCTTTAGCTGCACTTTGATATGGGGTGCTTTCTGTGTCAGCAACTCTCAGTATTGCATAACTTACCTTATGAAAAGCTTTTTAACTCAATTGTTATTTCACAGGGTTTTTTTTCCAGAGGGAGTGCTCCCAAACATGCTTTTTAAGTGATTTTTTTATGTCCTTGTTATACGCATCAAAATTCGTGGCACTGTGGTGCGTGAATAAGGTTCATATGATGTTAATTCTTCAGGATTTATTGAGACTTCTTTTATGGCCTAGGACAGGGGCAATTTTTGTGTATGTTCCTTATATGCTCAAAAACATACGTCTATTCTGTGTTCATCACCAGTGGTTTCCAAATGAAGTTCAGCTGACAGGCTACATCAGATTCATATGAATCACTGTTTAAAAATAGAGTGCCTGAGACTCACCCTAAACTACTGCAATCTGGGTGTTAACCAGCACCTAAGTGAACGCTCATGGCACTTGTAGGGAGCCCTCACTTTCGCTCCTATTCCACTGTGCTCCCGCACTCACACAGGATCAAAGACATAGAACCCTGTCTTCTTAAAGAAAGAGATCCTCATCCTTCCATGCTATGTTTTTCCAACATTCAAAATCATCTCTACTAGATTATTCTTCCTTATCTCCACCCTAAATGCTTCATGCAAGGATATCGACCCACTGTCTCTATGTGGATGCATGCTCCTTCCTTCCTAAAGACCCAGATTTCATTTCTAAGGAATCGGATGATTAAATGAGAGCTACCAGGACCAGGCAGTCCCAGCCTCCAACAGTGCTGTCAGGCCACAGCGTCTATGTCTTCTGTTTCCTCTTATAAATGGACTTCCCTTAAGAAGCCAGAGAAGTAATGAGATGGCCACAGAGAGCTCCAAGTCTACATCCTTAATGTTCATAATCTAGGAGGGAAAAGAATGAGCCTCTCTCTTATTATCTTCACTAACAATCCCAGAGAAGGACTGTAAGTGACAGAGGGTGATCTTGTGTCTATACTTGGCCAACCACTGTGGCCAGAGGATAGGTGGTGTAGACAGGCATAGGTCACATGACCCCCATGTCGGGGACGGGAGTCATAGCAGTGTGATGCAACAGGATGACACTGAGCAGGAAGCACAGAATTCTCTGCAAGAAGACAGTGATGCTGTCACCAGCAGAAAGAAGGAAGAAATGCCAGGCAAACCAAAGAAACATACTTCTACAAAATTCTCTAGGTATAACAAGGGATTTACATTTTTATCCTATCTTGCAACATAGTGCTCTCTTTCAAAACTCCCAGTTATTAATGACATCAAGCTGTATTGACCTTAGAGTTTAATCTTCCAGTGACTCCATTTTCCTCATTTCAAACAGTGAAGGTAACTTTACCCTCTCCCTCTTTGAAAGATTAGTATGAAAGTTAATAGATTTATCAATTGTCTGTGTTCTCTAGAAAAGACAAAGTGAATGGCATGTATATGTGATGCAGGTTATCACATAAAAAGAAGAGTTAAATTTAGAATTGTTTAAAATCACTTAAATTTTTGAAGTTTAATCCTTAATGTAATATTTAAAGCTTTAAGAACTACTTTAATATTTATGATATTTTGTTATGTAAGAAAAATAAGCTAAAGAGGGATAGAGACAGAATAATCCTACTTTTGTAATGTATTCACATTTATGTCCAGAGGAGCAAAAAATATAATCAGGGCTATGTTGTAACTTCCATGGGCCTGAAGCATTTATGCCTTTGTGGGCCACTTACTCCATTAAAAAATATTAAAAATTATATTTTTGCAAAGGCATTACTATAAGGACAAATATATTAATCTTACATTTCTTTTTGTAAAAAGATCTAGTTAAGTGGCAGCCTTGAAGCTAACTTTAATGATGCAAATGAACTTCTCTGCACTATTTGAGTAGCATGATTTCCTCAGCTGAAATTCCACCATTAACTCAAGGTATGAAAGAAAATTGCCCTATGTCATTGTATTAGAAAAGTGAAAAAAATCAGAAAAATGAATGAAAATTTGAAGAAAAAGTACAAATAATGCAGTCCAGAAATAAATGTTTTGCATGGTGTTACCTCTACTGCCAATTCTGACCCCCCCTTTGTAGAGACACCCTAAGTCCAGACATCAATCAAAATCTGGCCTCGAAATAATTTCCTAGTTAGAAAGGGATCAGGAACATATTATAATTAATTCAAGACATCCCAAATTGCTTATGTTCACGTTGCTATGAACTTACACATTCTGATGTTAGAAAATAAAAGCAAAACAACACAAAATGAAAAATAAAACTTACTCTCTGGTCGTACTTACCTAACATGTGCACCTATGTTCTTTCCGTTTCTATTAAATCCCTATGGCCATAAAACACACAACTCAACTGCATTTTTTGGTAACTGATTTACAAATGGAAAGGTTTTCCATTTCTGATCTTTTCTGAGAGCGTTCCAACTGCAGAAAAGTTTTCCATAGGTAGAAACCACAAAACAAAAGAAGCTTATTAAATTCCTTCTTAGCTGAGCTCAGTAAGGCAGACAGATTCTCTCAGCCAACATACACCCTTCCACCTACACAAAGCATCTTACCAGAGGTGGGTGATGGATGCTTAAACCTGCTTTCCAGATGGAAAATTCTCCTAAACAGAATGTGTCACTCCCTGCCTTCTTTACTTTGCCCTTTCTCTGACACCAGCACAGAGCCCCAATGTGTTCTGTCTCCTCCTTACTCAGATGGGCATCACTGTCCAAAATCTACACAGTGTTCTGCCTCTTCCAACCTCCATCCCAAATCCTGTCTCCCCAATTGGCCTACTTAGCTTTCTGTACCCATTTGGTTTCAAGACATGGGTTCTGGAGGTTTAGTTTGTATTTTCATGTCCCCAAACAGTCTTCCCTTCCAAGGGAGGAAAATACTTTAAGAGCTCTTCACTTTTGCTGAATGAAAAGTTGACATATGGAAACAGCTAACAGTTTCTCAGATTCTTAACATATTTTAACTCCAGAGACTTGAAGAGTAAATAGGTGAATATCTTGCTCATCAAGTAAGTCAGAGTCTCTTTAAAAGCCAAGAACTAATCACAGCTGCGACTCTCATTAGGGTTGCCACAGCCCAAGACTCCACCAGCATTAGTAAATAACCAACAAGGGCCAAACAAAAGGGACATTTGCTTCTTCCAAAAAGACATTATTCATCAAATTGGGAAAATAAAATTCTGAATCTGCCCTGTGTCTACCACGTTGATAGAGAAAGCCACTCAGTACAGTACAATAGCACAGACAGCAAAGTGACATATAAAGAGACTTCCCACCAGCCTTGAGATGAACCCTAAGCTGCAAAAGGCCTGTAATTAAAAGGTGGGGGGCGGGGGAAGGGGCGGATCTGAGATAAAGGAAAGCTATTTTGTGCCAGATCCTTTCAAGGGTCTATATGAATGATTTATTTAAATTGCTATTGAACTGCAAAAGTGTTTGTACATGTAAAATATGCACATTGGAGGAAGCAGGGTGGTAGGTCCACCCTCCGAGGGAAAATCCAAGTTCATTACCAATAGTGGTCTGCTGCAGAGAGGTCTGCAAACCCTAGGGGCCTGGAACTCTGAAAAGGCGGTTCAAACCTCAGGTGGACTCCGCGTTTCCCCATTTCCCAGCCCTTCCGTTTATTTCCTTAAAAATTTTCTTACAGCACTTGCATTTGATGAGGTTCAAGAAGGCACTTCCCCCTCATTCTCCCCGCTCCTGGCCCAGCGGAGCCGCAGCGTCCGGACCGTGAACGCACCCAGGCCTGCAGTGCCCCGGCCGCCGCGCTGCCTGGGGTCCCGCGCCCCGCGCCGTCGCGGCCGGGCGGGTCTCACGCACTGCGGTGAGGCCGCCTGCCCGCCCTCTCGGCCCTGCGCCGCTTCGCGCGCCCCGGAGAGGCCAGCCCTGATAAAGGCGGACAGCTGAAGGGCCGTATCTTGCCTGCTTCTTTCAAGCAGGATTGGAGACGGGCCTCACCGAGGACGAACCTGGCCAAGGGTCAGACACGGAAGAGAAGCCACTAAAACGGAAATTCTCTCCGCTTTCCCCCGCCAGTTCCTAGAGCCGCCCTCCACGGCACTCTACGCGCCCAGGGCGCCCCTCCGCTGTGGGGTCGCCACGCGGCGTCTCCGTCCAAAGCACCCCGCACCCCCAGCAATGCCGGGCACTGAGCGAGCAGGGTGGCGCGCCAAGGCCTGGAAAGGCAGCGCGGACCGAGTCCGACGGCGGCCCCCAGGCCCCTTCTCGAGGACCGATGGGCCCCAACACACGGGAGCCCCGCCGCGAGCACCGCGCCGGCTCGCCCGCGCGTACCTGCCCGCGCGTACCTGCCCGCGCGTACCTGCCCGCGCGTACCTGCCCGCGCGTACCTGCCCGCCGCTGCTCCCGGCTTGAGCCGTAGGCCGGCTCCTGACCTGGCTTTTCGTGCCGTCCCTACCCCGTTTATAACTCAGTTCTCCATCAAATCCTAAAACAAAACGCAGGCGTTTGGCTGGGGCTGGGACAGGAGCAGGGGCCGAATTCTCCCCAAACCCTGCAGGCGGCAGCCGCAAATCACCCCGGCTAAGCCTGCCCGCGCCGGCCCACGCGGGGCCAAGTTCAGCGGAATCCGCGTCAATTGCCCGGCTGCAGTCACTGAGCGCTTCCCACGTGCCGCACGCCGGTGAAGCGCTTGACTGGTGTTAAGTCGTTTAACCCTCCCAACAACTTTGCTAACTATTATGATCCCAATTATAAAAATGACAAAACGGAAGCATACAATGATAAGGTGACTTGCTCGAGGTCACGTGACTAGTAAGTTCAGGGGGTGTTAGGAAGGGAAGGGAGGGGAGAAGCACACACAAAAATTTAAATGGGCACAAAGCGTTTACGACCTTAGGGTTTCCTACTACAGGTTACATTTTCAAAGCCTGAGCTGCGAGCCTGAATGGAGATGTCGGGGTGCCTGGCGCGGCCCCTCGTGCCCTCCTACCCTCGCTACCGGAGGGGCACGCCGGCTGCCGGGCTCCCCCGGCTCCTGCGACGCGTGCGGGCGGACCCCGAGGGTTCTCCTCCTGGCCCGCCTTCTCTCACTGGGTGATCTAGACCCCGCGTCTCTTGCAAAAAGGAAATGGGACCGAAAGGACGAAAATCTCTCTTGAAACAAACCCGGGTGGCTGCCTTGCGGGCGGGGTGGCCGCGAGGAACCCTCTGGGCGCCCGCGCCGCTCCTGCGCAGCGTGCGGTACGTCCGTTCCGTGGCGCTTTCTCGATTTCCGGATGGAATCTCCTGGGGCGAAGGATTTCCTCCGGTGCAGACCCACTGTCTGTTGCTCGAGCCGGCAAGTGAGCCTGGGGCCCAGGAACGCGGGCCGCCCGCACGCCTGGCATTGTAAAGCGGCGTCTCCGCTAGGCGCCTCGCTTTGGAGCTGAGACAAGCGGCGCTCTGCCCTGCTGCTTCTCGCTCACACCCAGCGATGAGCCGCTTTGGCGGAGCTCAGCTTCGCTCCGCACGCACACGCACGCACACACGCACATCTCACCCTAGCCACCGTGCCCACGGCGAGTCTGCGGGAGGGGGCCTCACCCACCGCGCTGCTACGGTTCGTGTCTCCACCCCGGTGCTGCGAAGGAGCTGGATACCTCCAGGACCCTGGTGAGCCGACCCAGGGAAACACCCCTCTTCTTCCCCCAGACTTCGCCCTTTCCAGCGGAGCCCACCTACAGCCCTCAAACGCCCCAGAGCGGGGACCCCAGTCTTCATGGGTAGGCTTCAACTTGTAAACAAATGGACCCATCTTTTCCTTATGAAGGACCAAAAAAAAAAAACAACAACAACGCCCATTTAAGAGATTGCTCAGGTAAGGAAAGATCCCAAGCACACCGGCAACTTAGAGGGTGCCTTAAAACTAAAGTGTTTTTATTAAATTGGACCAAAAATAAAAGTGTAAAAGTGCACATGTCAAAATGTTAATACCTTTTCATAACAATGATTGCATCTTTATAGTCACTGTCGTGGGGGGCATTATTATTTTCTTCTTTCTATTTTCATGATCCCTATCTTACAAAAAAATTATATGTATATATGTATATATACACACAAACAAACTTAGACAAACATTAAATGACTTACCCAAGGTAACTGGGAGCAGGTGCAATTGTCAAACCGTAAGTCTAGGGCGATTTCTGACCAGTATATCACCGTTTACTTGCTCAGGGTTGCAGTGAAGGTGAGGAAACTTCTGAGAACCATAATATGTATTGTTTGGGGGAGCAAAAAATTGGATAAATCAACAAACAAATATTTGTGAAATATTTCTACACAGTCCTGGCATGTCCTGGGAGCAGGGGGCTGGAGATAAACCAACCACTGCTTCCAGTGTCTCTAGGACCACTCCCAGGACTTCTTCACCCCCTCCAGCCTAGTCCAAAATTCTCCCACAGGTATTTTCGGATGATATGAAAAATTCTTCCATAGCAAGCCACTGCCTGAATAAATGCTTTGGAAAGTACTGTATGGTCTTCATGGGGGAACATACACACATACCTATAGATATTTTCAAAGGACACATGTGATCTTGCAATAAACTTGTTGTCATGCCTATATGGAAGGCAATGTGGGGTTAACTCTGGTGTCTGAACAAAACAAAGCACCCTTTTCAGAGCTTACAGCTACTGCACACATCCTGACCTTCGTGCGGGTGGGGAGGGAAAGTCTGTCAACATCTCCCAGGGTCCAGCAGCCAGAGGAAAGCCAAGAAACTCAAGGCTTAAAGTCATTTGAGGGAAGGAAGCACCAGGATGGAAAGTTCTGTCTGTAAAATACACACCCAGAACAACCTCCTAGTCCTGTTTTGAACGTCCCCAAGGGAAATGGTGCTTGTCTATACCAAAATGTAATCTTAGGTATGAGAAGGGTAGAACTGGAGGGTGTGGGAGGAGTAATAAAAATGATGTCTAAATTTGCTTTAAAACAGTTCAGCAAGAAATGAGAATAGAAAATAGACAAATGAAGCAATTGTGGCAAAACCCTGGTAATCGTCACATCTAGGTGATGGGTATAACAGGGAACACTGGACACTCTCTCCACTTTGGTGTACTGTGAAACTTTTCATAATAAAAAGATAAAAATGAAAATTCAACCTCCTTACTTAAAATATTAAAGTTTTATGGTATGTAAATTATACTCCACCTTGATAAAGCTACTTTTAGGAAGTTTTTAAAAAGTCACTTTCTATGGAGATTGTCCTCTTATAAAAGACAAAGTCGAGTTCATTCGCAGACGCCACGTCTCAGAGAGAGGTCGGTGGGTGACATCTGGGTCTCTGGTTCCAAATTCTGCACCCTGGTGGAGCCTCCCCTACCTGCTTGGTACCTCCCTTTTGAATCAAACTGGCCCTAGAGGACCCCACACGTTCCTTTTACTTGCAGACTCTCACCAGGACAAGTTTAGAGAGCCGCAAGGGTTCTCCTTAGGTAAAAGAACTGAGAAATAATAAAAGTAAACTGTTGTCTTTCTGTCATTGTAGACAAAAGACAAGGAGCTTCCTGGGGCCGAGAACGCAAGGCCACGACGGCCGGTGCCCAGACTCTCTGCATGGTGGGTTTGGCAATCCTTTGTTTTCTGCTGGACCGCAGGAGACCTCTGAGAGCTCCAGGCGTCACTTAAAAATGAACACACAGCACCCTTGCTTCTTGCTTCGGATCCAAAACTGCAACCGGACTCTGAATTTATTCCGCGAGGCCGGAAGACGCCGGCGTGTTGCGGCGGGGCGTGTTCCAACCGGGGCACCCGCGCGTGACTGTCTCCTCGTCCTAACGGAGCGGTTAGGGCAGCAAGAGCAGAACGTGCCCGGGGGTGGACAACCGAGGAAGAGGTCAGCGACAATCTTTGAAGGATTCTGTCCACCTGCGGGCCAAACCCCAGCCGGCCCAGGCCAGGGCTGGTGCCTGGCCGCGGACGCGGGGGCCCGGAGCAGGTGCCGCGATTGCCGAGAGCCGAGCGCCACCCAGCGGAAGCGAGAGGAACTCCCGCTTGTCCCGCGCCGGGGCCAGACGGAAAGGAGGGGCAGCCCGCAGGACCGCAAAATCCCGAGACTCTGCGAGGAAGGGAAGAGGACACATGTGACGACTCCAAAAGACCACTCCCGGCCTTGCCAGTCCACCCCTCTCCACCAACAAGGACACCGTAACCAGGCCCGGGAAAGTACGTTGGCCTGGCGGAGACGCCCTCCCCCGCCAAACCCCAAGAAAAGAACTTTCTCCTAAAATACAAACTCCCCACCGGGGAGCTTTAGGGCAGAAGCTCAACGCAGAGCAGGCGAGCGCGGTGACGTGCGGGCCGCGAGACTGCAGGCGCGGGGCAGAGCCTAACGGAGGGTGGGGGGAGGGCGAGAGGGGCCACGTAAATCATTTGGAGGGATCTTTGGCCCGAAGCCCTGTTTCCCATAGGTTGGGGGACGGCTTTGACATTGATTATATAGCTGTTCTCTTTTCAAGTGCGCGCCCCTCCCCACTGCAGCCGGTCTGGTGTGTGAGGATTGTGTTTGAAAGGGAGGAAGCATTCTTGAAGTGGTGGGTGATGGATTGTCTAAACCCTTCTGGGACGTTTTGGGCGGGGGTTTCAAGGCAGCTCATCAGTAAAAAACCCCCTGGAGATGGGGGGCGGCTGGAGTGGCCACCCCAGGCCTGGAACCGAGCCCTTGGTCAGCGGGGCAGGGAGTGAGAGGAGCGAGGGTGGGCACGGGCAGGTGGAAACTTCTTGCCTGGGTCCCTTGGCCACCAAAGCCTTTTCAGACTAGCCTTGCGGGAGCCTCCGGAAGGGGAAGAGGGCCAGCAGAAAGGCTGGTTGGCTCCCAATGCCATGAAGTCAGGGCAGCAAGGAGGGGCGGGCCTGCGGCCACCTTGCTTATTTACCCTTACTTCATCTCCTTGAGGCTCCTGCTAGTTTCTCAACCACCTTTGCTGTATGTGGTTTGCCTTGGTATAGATTTCTTTTCCAGGCCCCTACAGAAAACCTGTTCACCTCTCCCAAGTTGGAGGAGAGAGTTGTGTGTGTGGAAGGGGGGTGCTTACGGATGAGCGTGCTGAAGCCATCCCCAGAATCTGACCAGCTGACAGCCTGGAGGACCAAGCCCCTGGCAGGCTGCTTGCTTCCAGCCTGCGAAGCCCTCTGGCTGCTCGGGGAGGAGCAGCCCAGATGCCCCAGCCTCCAAGAGAGGGCTGTCCTGGGGTCAGGAACCCCAACAGGGAACGAAGGGGAGGAGGACCCACAGTCCAGGAGACAACCTGGAGAGGCAGCTTTGGGGTCCACACCCATCCAGGATTCAGACTCCACGCAGGACGAGCGCTCCTCTCTCCTCTTGGGCCAGCCTCAGGAGCATTCCGCCCTCCAAGGCCCAGGCTCCGCCGAGGGCTGTCTCTCTCCCTCCTGTGGCTGAGGACCAGCGGCCTCCGCGATCCCCGCCAGGCTGGAGGGAGGGGGAATGGGGTGGGGACTCCCGAAAGGCAGCTCCTCCAAGGCGGTGTCTGGACGCCCTGAGGTCCCTAGTCGGCCTCTGGGCGCCGAGCACGTTTTATTTATCCCCACAGAGGATGCTGGAGGACAAAAGAAATATTTGGACGTCAGACCTGATTTATATTTTTGGAAGCGCTACGTTTCCTTTTCTGCAGAGAAGCGAGCGCGCCCCATATCCTGAGCTCGGCGGGAGGACTGGAGGGAGTTTTGATGCTCCAGGAAGTTCATCTCTCTGGGAGCACGCAGGGCCCGGCGCCCCGCCGAGTTCGCTGCCCTTGGAGATATTTATTTATCTGGGGGGAAGGGACAGCAGGGAAGAGGAGACCAGCCAGACAGGGAAGAAAACCCGATCCAGGCTGGGTTGGGACCTCCAGGGCGCTTCCGTGCACGCGGGCGCGCGCTTGGTTGGTGCCTTCCGCTACCCTCCGCGGGCACCCTCCCGCGCTCTGTGCGCCCAATGACCCTCCAGCCCCTCGGGCTCTTCCCGGGTGGGCCCAGCCCCAACCCCTGCCCAGCGTGCGACCAAGGCCCAGCCATCTGCCTCCTAGCCTGGGAAGGCAGGACAGTAGGCCTCCCAAGGCCTGGAGCGGCAGAGCAAGAGGTATGAGGGGCCCTAGACGACCCCAGGCCGTGGGCACCTTTGAGAGGGGCAGTGAAGATGTCCGGGGCTGGAGGGGTCCTCAGGGCCCCTGCCGCACGCCGGCTCCCAAGACACGACCTGGCTCCCACCGGTTCTCATCGCATCCGCATGTTTTGTCTTGCGACCTAAAAGCATGGGGACTTCCCTCCCAGCAGCACAAGTGGACGCTGATGGGCACCCACACTTGCTGTCCAGAGTGCGAGGCTCAGGCTTCCCTACTTATTTTCTTTCTTTGCAGGGAGCTGGCTCGTTCAGGCCTTCTCCCCCCGCCCCTCGCGCCTAGGCAGAGACCACCTCTGTTCTAACCCAGGACTCTTTTCTCTGCCGTTTAGGCCTGCCTTGTCCCTGCCACAGAAACCCTCATCTCGAGCTCCAACCTCACCCGGCCTCCCCACCCCTAAACGCAGCAGGCTGTGAGCAAAATCTAAGCCGCGCTCCTCCAGGTACTGCCGTGTCTGCAGCTGGGTCTCGGCCTGCCGGCCTGGCTCCCGAACCGCCCCAAGGTTTCAGTCTCACAACCAAAGGACCGGCCACCTCATATTCTGCGAAGTGCGCAGACAGGACGAGAAGGGTCGGGTAGGTTAGACCCCTTTCTCTTCCCTCCCTCCCGATGCACCCTGCGACCTGGTTAAGTGGGTCACCAAGTCATGCCTACTGCCAAACCGGGGAGATTGAGGCGGGGGCAGTTATCTGCGGATGTCTCAAGAAGGTGGGGCTATAAAAAGATCCCTGTCCGGGACACTAGTGTTTGGAGAGCGGAAGACTCTATCCAAATAAACATTTGGAAGTGGGTGGCTGGTGTTCAGACCCGGAGGTCTGGGGGTTTCTGGACCGAGAGAGGACAGCAGACGCCAGGAAGAGGTGTAAAATTCCCATTCCTCCCCACGTTCCTCTCTCCAGTCCCCACCTCAGCGTGCCCTCCTCCTGCTGTTCCCGTCTGCGTTTTCTACTGTAACTTGAAGTTGCTGGGGGGGCTCTGTGGCGCGCAGGCTGGTGCTTTTCCGTCGTTTCCTCAAACACGCGGACACCCCTCGGCCCCAGCACACAGTTCCTGGCATCCACACTTAGGCCCCGCAGGAGCTGGAGGGTCCTCTACACACATGAACTTTGTTCCCAAACACGGTGAAAGCCGCGGCCAGCTGCGTGCTGAACCGCGAAGAGGCTCTCCGCGCCGGCGGAGGCGGGAGGGCTGCCGGCGTGAACTGCCCAGGAGGCGCCCTAGGTGGGGTGCTCAACGCGCCTCCCCTGTCGTAACTGGTTTAGTCTAAGCCATTTCATGTAAAACCCACGAAGAAGAGGAAGCATGCTACGGACATAAAATTTAAACCGCAATAATGAAAAGATTTCCTAGAATAAAATGTCGACTACAGAACCAAATAGGAGAAACCCAAGCTTGCCGGAGTTTACGTTCCCTTGCGGGGAGCAGGGGTGGGACCTAACGCTTTGGAGCAGGAAAGGAAGCCACAGCCCAGAGGGAGACAGCCATACCGGGAGGGACAGGGCATCCGTGGCACCAGAGGCTATATATTTCTGGTTAACCCAGGAGTGCCTGGGCTGACCTAGAAGAATCATTTAAATGAACCATACCTTTCCTTCCATAAATAAGAATCAAGATTTTTGTTGTTTATAGGGAGAGAAAGTCAGTGGAGAAGAGCTGGCCAACATAAGGACCCTCAGAAAGAGAGGGAATCCACCCTAAGCTAGGCTGTGTTTCAGAGACAAACACAACTTTCCTTTTAAACCCTGTCTGCTTACCAGAAATTAAGATATTCTTGACAGGGATAAGGAATCTGAGATAATTTGTTATCACATATATTCTTACCCAAGAGATTTGTGTAAATCGGTGATTAAAACAATGCTCAGAGAGATTCTGCTGTAATGTAATGGAAGGAACACTGAATTTGGAGTCCCAGGCCCACACTACAGGCCAGCTTTGTCACTTGCCCCTGCATGACTCTCACTCCTAGCAAGCCATCTGGTCTCTCTGAGCCTCAGTTTCCTCACCTTTAAAGAGGGACCATGGTACCTGGGCCACATGGTAATGACCTGATGTGAATGGAATAGCTCATACCTGTGAAGTCTATAACAAACAGATGTAGGGCTCTAGTAATTCTAGACCTGGGTGGTCTCTGTCAGGGGCACAGTTTCCACAAGCAGAAGTGGGATCTCCAAGAATGAGTTTTGGAAAGGTGCCTTCCTGCGCAGACGACTTAAGAAGGTCTCCGACCTCCATATCCTTCTGGAGTTCAGGAGCTATAGGGACAGCATGCAGACCCCTGGAAGGAGAGGAAGCTGCAAGTCTGCAGGCCTCCTCCTGGCTCTAACTACCGCCAATACCTACCTGGCCAGGCCCCGTAACACTCCCAAGCTGTAAGTGGAATTTCTTACAAGTTTCGAAAGTTTAGTAAAATGGGTACCATTGTCACTCGATGGAGAAGGGAGCCTTTTTAGAAAATAATTTAACCAGCTAAATTGGTAGAAGCGAAAAATATGTAGAACACAGGTTTTTAAAATGAGTATCTGTGGACACCCTAAAATCCCACACAAAGTTGGAGTATTTTTCTGGACACAGACTCTGTATCTTCCATGATATTCTAAAAGAGACCCATGATCCCAATACTAGAAGCTACTGGCGAAGAAGGTTATCACTGATCCTGCCTGGATTTTAGGGTTAGTGCCTTTTATTCTTCAGTCTCTGGGTCTTAAAACCTTTAAGGCCTGCTCTTAGAGCAGGTGCTCCCTGAGATTCAACATACACAGAATTTCTAGGTGCAGGAAATCCGAGAGGTTCCATGGCTGAATGGCAATGATATTGACTTGTTCATTGAATGTCCCACAAACCCACTGACCACTCCCAGTCACAAACGAGACGGCCTCCTTCCTCTCCTCTGGGTCGATGCTCTTCTCACTTGAAAGCACACACAGACCCCGACACCCTGAGCTCTGTTGGTGGAGCTCCTTTCAGATGCTATCTGGCCTCCTCCCCCCAGTTTCTATTTTATTTAAATAAATTATTTTAATTAAATAATTGCTAAAAGCATTGGTTTAGTGAATACATTATACTTACTTATTTTTCATATATTTATATTTTATATTTATATTTCATTTTTTCATATATTTACTCATTATATTCACTTCAATATTTATTTATTTTTAAATTATTCCACATAAAATGACAAATGGAGGCAAGAGAAAAAAATACCATGAAATAGAGACCCATCCCCCCAAAGCAGTCACTAGTCAATCAGAAAGAAATTCTTAGAAAGTAGAAACAACTGCAAACGGCCCTACCCCAACCCAATCAAAACATCCCATCAGGAAAAGAGCGACTTGTTTCTTTTTTCTATTGGAAATGACTGGTAAACTGAGTTCGGCCGGGCGGTGTTTTCTTAGCTGACTCTGGGCTACAATCAAGCCATTTTGGGACGCATTCCCATGTAGGTACCAGGGGTGCTCTGGAGGAAGCTGTCGACGCCTGTTCAGCTAATTTAGGTTTGCTTTGTCTAATTACTGTGGAGCTGAGGGAAAAGGAGCCGGCTCAGGGCAGTAAACTGACACTCATTCTCCGTGTGTGGTATCCAGGCAGGGTTTGATGGAAAAAGCCTGCTTCCACTCAACTTCAGGTCACTGTCTGGGGCCAACCCCCGCCAGCCCCCTCCCACCTCCCCCAACCCCGCCCTCTCCTCTGTGCCTGCAGACCCTCCAGCTCACTCAGCCCGGAGCAGTCCCCGGAGCGCTGGGGACACGGAAGCCAGCGCCGGCCTCGAGGGCCTGCCTCCGCTCGTCCGCCAGAGCTCTTTGCTCCTTGCCTCGCCCCAGATCCCTGCACAAACCTCCTTTCTCCGACGCCCCATCTCCCGAGCACACGCCCTGCGCCTGGCCCCTTCAGGGGAGGCGCAGCGGTGCTCGCAGCTTGCCTCCCATTCGGCCCGCTGGTCTGCCGCTCCTCTGCTCCTGGCCTGCCTCGCCCTAGTGGCCCCGCCAGTCCCGGCCTCGCGCTCTCCTCCCTCTCCCAGCCCGAGCCCTGCGCAGACACTTCCCCGCACGTGTAATCCGACCACGACTGTGGGTCTCATTGGGAATGATTTCTCCCAGGGCACAGCTCTCTCAGAGAGGACGTGGCCACACTGGGGCGGCGCGTTCTCCCACAGAAGTTAGCTTAGAGATGGGACATTTTCTGGCGGGCAGTGTTGAGGCTGCGGGTGTAAGCCTCGCGACGGTCGCACGCTCCTTCCGGGCTGAATGTAAATGTGGTTATCTCGCTTATCTCAGAGTCAGCCTTCTTTTTGCATTATTTTTTCCTACAAACACTAAGTGGAAAATGAAAAGTGGAAGCAAATGCAGACTTGAGTCCTGTCTGACCCAAGTTTCCAGAGTCTGTAAAACTTGGCCTAGGTTTCTCGGTCCAAACCCCTCTGCTCAAAGTTCGCAAACGTCCGTGAACGTCTGGGGACCCGCAACCCGGCCCCCACACCGGGCGCTCTCCCTCTACTGACGATTGTAAATCTGCAGGCCCTGCCAGGAAGGGGGGATTGGCGGTTACCTTTGGGCGTCTGGCACCCCGGCGTGCGGCTGAGGGCAGCAACGTCTGAACGAAGTTGACACGTGGAGTCAACGCGGGCACTGGGGAAGGCGGCTTAGGAGGGTCGGGTGGCGGCACCGGGCGCAGCGCCGCGCAGCCTGGGCTGGGCCGGGAGAAGGGGGGAGGGGGAGGGGGAAGGGAGAGATGAGGCGGGGGCGGAGGAGACGCGGAGGTGGGTCCACTGGTCTGGGGGCCGCTGGTTTCTGGAAAGAGAAGCCCGGGCTGCTGCAAGGAATAAAGAGAAGGAAGATTGCACGAAGTCAGAGGTGGTCGAGGGGTGGGGTCCTCCTTAGCAAAACCAGACTTAGTCTGCGATATGCCTCTATTTGAAAGAGGTTGGGTGGAGGAAAGGGAAAGAGGCCGACAGAGAATTAAAAGGCCGAGGGGACCCTGAGAGCAAGGACCGCGATAAGAGAGGGCGCGGGCCGCCAGGTCGGGAGGGGGAGGAGTGAGCGCGGCGGCCCAGCGCGCCCTCCCCGCGGCAGCGCGGCGCGAGGAGGGGGCAGGGGGGAGGGGGAGGGAGGGAGCGGGGAGGGCGGCCGGGGAGGGCGCGGGAGGGAGGAAGTCCGAGAGACAGAGCGAGGAACGCTCCTGAAGGGAGACGTCGGGCTCGTCCCCGGTGTCCGGGCCGCGGTCCCAGCTCGCGGGCGCAGTTGTCCGGCGTCCGGCCGCCTCGGCTCCACGGCCTGGGAGGGGGGGCCGTTGCGCAAGGCAGGGGCCCAAGGCTGGGGCAGTGATGCGCCGGGCGTTGCCTCCGGCCCGCCGCCGCCGCCAGAAGCCCCAGAGGAGCTGAGGGAGGCGACGCCGAAGCGCTGGCCCGGAGTGGCCACGGCTGCAGCCCGGGCGGCGGGCTAGGGCGCTTGCCCGGCTTCTGGGCCGACCCCGCTCCGGCGCCTCCGCTCCCGGCCCGGGGTCCGCCCCTGCGGCCCGGCCTCGCTCGTAGGTCCCAGATGACCACCGAGGGCGGGCCGCCGCCGCCCCCGCCGCGCCCGCCGCCGGCCCCGCTCCGCCGTGCGTGCAGCCCGGCCCCCGGCGCGCTCCAGGCCGCCCTGATGAGCCCGCCGCCCGCAGCTGCCGCCGCCCTGGAGACCACCTCGTCGTCGGCGTCCTCCGCCTCCTGCGCCTCGTCCTCGTCCTCCTCCAACTCGGCCAGCGCCCCCTCGGCCGCCTGCAAGAGCGCGGGTACTGGCGGCGGCGCGGGCGCGGGAAGCGGGGCCACCAAGAAGGCGAGCTCGGGGCTGCGGCGGCCCGAGAAGCCGCCCTACTCGTACATCGCGCTCATCGTCATGGCCATCCAGAGCTCGCCCAGCAAGCGCCTGACGCTCAGCGAGATCTACCAGTTCCTGCAGGCGCGCTTCCCCTTCTTCCGCGGCGCCTACCAGGGCTGGAAGAACTCCGTGCGCCACAACCTCTCGCTCAACGAGTGCTTCATCAAGCTGCCCAAGGGGCTCGGGCGGCCCGGCAAGGGCCACTACTGGACCATCGACCCGGCCAGCGAGTTCATGTTCGAGGAGGGCTCGTTCCGCCGCCGGCCGCGCGGCTTCAGGCGGAAGTGCCAGGCGCTCAAGCCCATGTACCACCGCGTGGTGAGCGGCTTGGGCTTCGGGGCCTCCCTGCTGCCCCAGGGCTTCGACTTCCAGGCGCCCCCGTCGGCGCCGCTGGGCTGCCACGGCCAGGGCGGCTACGGCGGCCTCGACATGATGCCCGCGGGCTATGACGCCGGCGCGGGCGCCCCGAGCCACGCTCACACGCACCACCACCACCACCACCACGTCCCGCACATGTCGCCCAACCCGGGCTCCACCTACATGGCCAGCTGCCCCGTGCCCGCAGGGCCCGGGGGCGTCGGTGCGGCCGGCGGCGGCGGCGGCGGGGACTACGGGCCAGACAGCAGCAGCAGCCCAGTGCCCTCGTCCCCAGCTATGGGGAGCGCCATCGAGTGCCACTCGCCCTACACGAGCCCTGCAGCGCACTGGAGCTCGCCCGGCGCCTCGCCTTACCTCAAGCAGCCACCCGCCCTGACGCCGAGCAGCAACCCGGCGGCCTCCGCAGGCCTGCACTCCAGCATGTCCTCCTACTCGCTGGAGCAGAGCTACTTGCACCAGAGCGCCCGCGAAGAACTCTCAGGTAACACAGCGCGCCCAGGAGCGGCCCGCTGGGGCCTTCGCGGCGGGCCTCCAGACCCCGCGCCTACTGCCAGTCCCACCCGGACGCAGCAGCCTGGGGTCCGAGGGCACTGGGAGAAACTGATGCTGTTGCGGGGAGCTGACAGCTTATTCATGGGGGCAGGGATAGGGGTCTTACTGTCCTCCATAGTACCCCGGGTAAGGAGCCTGGCCTCCAGAATCGCCCGGGCTGCTAGGAGGATGGAGCAAAGTCGCCTGCATTTCTGGGGTGGATGGACTCAGGACTGCAGGTCTCCCATTTCGAGCCTCACTTAGCTTTGACAGAAGGCATGTTGCCTTTGGGGACCTTAGCCAAGGAGCCATGTCTAGTTTCCTCCGTCCTTTTGAAAAAAGTTTGTTTGCTGTACTTTTGTCCAAAAGTAAATGTCAGAAAGGGAGACGTTCTGTATGCTGAGGTGTGAGTGGGGAGTTTTAGCTGGGCAGATGTTGTGAGGAGGGAAAGGGAAGGGCCAAGCAGAGTGAGGTCCCAGGATCTTTCACTACAAGGACATACTGTGGGTGGAGAGGGATGCCCGGCCATGGAGGAATCTCCTCCCCCTCTCTGCCCCCCACAGTGATGGCACCCCGCTCTGTCCTAGGCAGCAGGACATGAGGGCCCTGATGTGACTCCTCTGGAAATGTGCCTGCCCCTTGGGTGCCACTTGTTCTGTGGCTGGTTTAAATTGTGTGGTGGCAGATTATGAAAATTTATTGACTTGCTAGAGGTGGTGAAAGGTGGGAGGGGACTATGGGGGTGGAGAAAGGAATTTGAATATCTGGCTGGCTTTATCTGGAGAATGGAGATGCACCTTGCCTTGACGCCTCAGAAGCACCGGGGATGAGGGCTGAAGCCAGGCTAGCCTGCCAGTCAGAGGCTAGGGCCCAAATGCGCTGTCACGCTTCACACCCACCTCCCATAGCAAGCAGAAAATGGTTTGAAGGATGATGCATATTTTCTATATAATGTTCGTGAACTGGTGTGCAAGAGGAGCATGGGGAGAAAGGAAGCCCAAAAATGTGCAAAAGATGTTGGTTTCCTGGACGGTGAAATTTCCCAAATAGGCCTTTTAAATGTGGGTCTCAGAGGTTAACTAAACAAAGACAGTCTGGGCAGGACCACACTGGAGAGGATTTTAGCCTGACTTAACCCACAGAGAACGAAGTCTTGTTCAATTTTATGGGAATTTCTCCAAGTAACTAATACAGACGCCCTCCCTCTTACGTTTGCGTCCCCTCGGGCTGGCCTGTCAATCACACACACCCAAAGTCCGCATGGCCCCACTCGCCTCCTTCCCTTCTCGCCTCCTTCCCTTCTCGCAGCCCTCTCCAGACAGGCCCTTCTCAGCTTGAACCTAGACTCAGCCGTGGTGAAACACTACTTTAAGAAGAAAAAACGCAGGAAAGAGACTCCCTGACCTTTTTTTAAGGCCACCCTCGCCCCAACCCACACACTAAGTGCACAGCACAAAGCCCTCAGAAATTCGGAGATCTGGAAACACGACTCTGCCTGGGAGAGGATGAGAACTCGGCGCCTGCCCACTGGCCTGCTGCGGCTGGCCTTTCCCCAGCCTCGCTGGACTCCCCGCCGAACCACGGAGCGCTCGGGAGGCTGTAGCTAGGGCCTGACGCCGACCCAGACGCTGTGCCCCATCCCTCCTCGCCCTCACGCTCCCTACCCTCTGGGATGCCCCCGCCCCCTTCGCACACGCACGCCCCGGTTGGCGTCTCTCCTGGGGCCGGAGGCGGGGGCTCCCGGGAGCCGCTGGGTGCGCAGAGGCCCTTTGGGACCTGGCTGGGCCTGACGAGGCGCAGGGAGGCCGCAGGGCCGAGGCTGTGCGCTGAGGACGTCCCCGCACTCGCACTCACACCCAGCACCGCCTCCACCCCAACACACCGCCGCGCCTTCCCTCCCACTGCGGTGCGGGATCGCCTTGCCAGGCTGGACCTGCGCTCTCCGCTCGGCCCTGGGAGCGTTTCGGAAAGGAGCGCGCCAGCTTTTAACGTCCCGCCCAGCACATCAAAGCGCCCACGCCTCCTTCGCCTCCTTCGGTGTGCAGGTGTGAGCGCTGGCTCTCTGCTGCTGAGACCTGCTCCTTTGTGATGGGGAATTGGCAGCAGGACGTGCTTTAACGCGGTGAGCGAGCGCACCTGTGTGCAGAGCGGCCCGCACCCACCGCGGCGCGTGAGCCAGTCGCTGCTTCACTAGAGCAGCGCATGCTGGGTTAGGTGTCAGCGGGCGATGGACGGAGGCCGAGTCACTGGCCACTGAGTAGCCTGGTCATCCCCTAGATGTTGGGAACAGAACTGGCCAAGGCAACGGGAGCAGGGCCCTGCCGACGCCAAAGCTTTCTTGCACTGGAAGACCGAATCTGGCCCAGCATGAATATGCATGTTATGATCCCGCACCGCTGGTGGGACTAGAAAAGACCTAGGCGAACCGGCTCAACCCAGCCTGTAGCAGAGAGGGGCCCGGGTTAGTGGATATGCCTGAGCCCAACGGTCGCCCCAGGCTGACTGCTCCTGGGGACCAGGAACCCGGAAAGCAAAAGCGGGTGGTGGGTTGCCGTGCAACCCCTGCTCAGGCCCCTGGCTGAGGGGCCATCTGGGGAGCGGGCGACAGGCCTTCTTTGTGCTCCCGCAGCCTGGGCTCTCTCAGGGACTCCTGTGCTGCCAAATGGCTGGACTGAACGGCATTTCTCCGCACCCTGAAGTCCTGGCTTCTCTAGAGGAAGCCTGAGACGCTGGGGACCTAACAAGATGCCTGCAGAAGGAAGAAAGAGGTGCGCTTTTATTTCCTGTCCCTTTCTCTTGTGATGAGGTTGTTTCTATGACCCCATTTGGGCACAGGTAACATCCCTCTGCACCTGTTACTCAAACCAGGCTAGTTGGAAAATAAGGCTCAAAACAAGCCGTGAAGGGGCAGTGGTGTTTCTGGGGCAGGGAGCTCAGGGCTGCACAGGCCAGGAGGTCTGCACTGAGGAGCCCTGGGCCAGTCTGCGGGGAGCTGTTCCAGCTGCCACTGCTCATCTTGAGATTAAAGCACTGGCCCAGCCGCAGAGAGTGGTGTTTGAATTCGGGGACATAAGCACCCCTCTCGCCGGGAGCTTGCTCTGTGTCTGTGTGTGCACTGCATCGACTAGAGCCAAAGCGTGATGAGTCCCAGTTGCCCGATGGCTACGGCTGGAAACTCTGAGACATTTGCTGGAGCTGGGTTTTGTCAACCAGGTTGATAGTGATGCCAAAAGACGCTCCAGCACCTTTTTCCCTGAGTCAAAATCAGTCTCAATGAATTGAAATTTTAAAAATAATATACCCAGTCATTGGCTAGATGACCTTGTGTCTGAAAAGTCTTTTTCTTTCTTCTTTCAGTGGGACTGCCTCGTTATCAGCATCACTCTGCTCCAGTGTGTGACAGGAAAGATTTCGTCCTCAATTTCAACGGCATTTCTTCTTTCCACCCCTCAGCTAGCGGGTCATACTATCACCATCACCACCAGAGCGTCTGTCAGGATATTAAGCCCTGCGTCATGTGAATGGAGGCCCTGCCAGGCAGCCTCCACTCTCCTGTCCTTTCCTGTTCTGTCCTTGGTGGGGGCAGGCAGGAGTTGGGACGGACTCACATAATGTGCATGTGGATAGCAGTAAGTAGCACACCCGCCACTTAGCCAGAATGCCCAGGAGAGCCTGTTCACCCTTGTTTGCCAACCGCTGGCAGAGGGACAGCCCTTGGCAAGGTAATGCCCCAAATCTGAACACCTGCAGGCTCCCAGATGAGGGTGAGAATGAACTGAGATGGTAGAAAGTTTCCACGTGTAAAACATGAACATGCAACTCTGGGATCTTCCTTCCCTTCAGTAATCAGGGTCTTAAGAAAGCAGACAAGTTGTTAGTGTGTGTTTGTCTATGAAAACTTGTGTGCTTTTCAAAAAGGCAGTGCTAAGCACAAGATTTCAAAAAAGCCTCATAGTGTTGCCTGGCTAAGTAGGAGACTTCTGTTTCCCCCTGAAAGCTACGTTTGGAGACAGGTGCCAAAGAACGTTACTAAGAAAATATTTAGAAACAATGTGTCTAGTTTAAGGAAGCAGTTTTCAGTATTGTGACAATACAACATTTTTACAAGGTTGTTTTCTACCACCATATTTTAAAGATATTTTTATGATCTTCGTGTATACTCACACTTGGCTTATATTTTAAAAGGAGGATATATTTGCACTTCTGTATACTTTTACAGTTTGCCAAAATATTTTGATGTAAAATTTTTTCAATAAAATGTATATAACAAATAGTTGTTTTAGGGACTGATTTCCTCTGCGGGCACCCTTGGAGGAACCGGCGGCCGTGCCCGCGCCCGCGGTGCTTGCGTGGTGCGGGGTCTGGGCCTGCTGAGCAGCACAGGGCAGGTTCTGACTGTGGGTCTTCTCAGGAGAGAAAAAGAAGGGACGTTTTCTGTTATTTGTTTCTTTTACTTCACCATAGTTTTTTCGGGCTAAACAAAAACCAGAAGGTGAAACTAACTTAAAAGAAAACCAGGCAAAATAATGGAAGGCAAGGGTTTGATTTGAGGAAACCAAGTTTTGGTGCCCCTTTTGTTTTCTTTCCTGTGTCCAGGGAGAGTTCTGCCCTCTGCCCTCTCCTCTTCCCCACACTGGTGGGAGGCAGATGTGGGCACATAGGAAGCCCCACCACAGCCCCCTGCCTTGGCTTAGCAGCTTGGGGAAGATCAGGGGCCCAGGGAAGGAGTTGGAGTCCCGGAGCTTCCAGATTGCCCTCGGAAGTTTGGCTGTGGGTAGAGAAAGGTCTGGAGAGGTGGGGGGGGGGGCTGCAGAATATAGTGAGCAGTCTCTGAGCCTGAGGCTTTGAAATTTCCTTTTAGAATTTAAGACAGAAGCTGGACACCCCCTCCCTCCCACGGTGTTGCGAGGCTGCTCACCTCCAACTCAGAGCCTGCTGGTCTGCCTGGCAGCTGCTCCGCCAGCCGCCCTCCTCCCTGGTCTCTCCGCACTCCTTCCCGGTAACAAGGGATTTAGTGGTTTCCCTCAAGGATCCCTCAGCCCTTTTCTTTTCTCGCTAGGTTTCCCAAGTGTGAGTGTTACAGGCAGAGCTGCTGACGCTCTGGGTTAGAGAGAGACAGCATAGACCAAGCAGGCAGTAGGGCTCTTTGTTTCCTGCCCAGCCCACCTTCTGTCTGGCCAGCCCTCCAAACTCACCGGGGTGGCACCAGTGTCAGCCACCGCCGGTCTGAGCAGGGGCAGAAATCCTCAACCACAATTACGCTGCCATGGTTCTCCCCTCCAGCTCAGGGCTGCAGCTTTGTATTTTTATTTATTTTTTTTATTTTTTGCAATTTCTTTCCTGAATGAAAAATTCTCCTTTGTCTCTCATTCCCTAAAAGGTCTTTCCGGCAATCAATCACCAGGCCCTCAATCCCGTTCAGGAGTTACCTGCCATCCCTGCAGGTTTTGTATTCGGAGCGAATTTCAGTGCACAAAGACAGTCTCATAAGTAAAATATCTTGTTTCAGAAAGTCTTAACCATGTTCCTAATCATTCCTTAGGGTTCCTTCCCATATTTTCCAAAATTAAGCGGTGATTAAACATTTTTTTGTCTCTCCATTATCGTATTTACAGTTAAATAGGGCCTTTTTTTTCTTTTATATTGAGCTACTCTGGGGCCTGCTATAAATTATGAAGTCAGTTTCAGAGTTTGCTCCGACCACAGTGCTGTGTTTACATTCCTTCCGAGGCAGCCGGCATGGTCATAATTTATATCCTAAACACTTGAACGTAACTTGTTTATACAGAGAATGACAGGACCGCAAAGACGAAAACTCTGCGTCTGTCCGGCTGGTCGCGTTGGGAGGCCCGGCGCGCCCCCTGCCGGCCGGAGCAGACCGGCGCGCCGTCGCGCTTCTTTCCAGCTGGGCAAGAGCTTCGCCCAGTACCGCCCCAGTACCGCGTTTGGTGGTGCTCTCCCAAAAGGGGCATCTGTAAGTGCCTCACTTTCAGGAATTGTTCCTTCCAGTTTCAGAAAATAGTTTTGCTTTTTTCTGTTTTACTTTTTCCATCTCATGTCTCGTCCTAAAACCAGATCAAGATTCAGTAACAACAGGCCTGACCATACTTAGTAGGTGTTAAAATCCTGACTTGCTGCTTTTATTCCAAGATTTCTCCCCAAATAAGGGAGAATTTGTTTGGTTTCCCTTTGAGTCAAAATTGCTTCTCTCCTAACTGCTTCTCCCTCAAAGACACTTAGGTACACAGACACATTTACTTCTTTCTCTCTCTCTCTCTCTCTCTCTCTCTCTCTCTCTCCTCTCTCTCTCTCTCTTTTTCAGGAGCAGGAAGTGCTTAGCTTTAACTGTTGCCCAAACGTTAGCGATTCATTCTAAAACAAGTGTTGCAGTGCCTTTTACAGGTGAAAATAAATGAACTGATCCAACTGGGGGTCAATGCCTCAACTAATTTTTTTTTTCTTTTTGTCAAATATATTTTGAGCTTAGAGTTTCTGCTCATTGGCAGAATAAAGTGACATTGGATTGTTTGTGTAAAAATTACTGTTTTTGGTTCATGTGTTTAGTTAGGGCTATATAAATAAAGAAGGAAGAAACCAGGTAAATACTGTGCATGGACCAAGTGCTGGCATTGTGGTTATCTTATTACACTTCATGTGGTTCTCTTATTTAATCCATTCAGTATCTCTATGATCTGAGGATTTTTATTTTATTTACAGGTTGTGGCTTTCAGGGATTTGACCCATGTTTTCTGATGTCAGCTCATTTCCTGCCTTCCCCCTGCTTTGCCTGTAAGAACTCTGCACCCAACAGTGCAGGCATAGGCGAGGTGCTGCTATAAAGCACCAGTTCTCAAACTTGAGTGCACATCAGAATCATCTGGAGGGTTTGTTAAACAGGCTGTGGGTCCACCCCCAGTTTCTGATGCAATGAGTCTAGGGCTGGGCTCAAGAATTTGTATTCCTAATAAATTCCCAGGTAATGATGTTGGTCCAGGGACCACAGTTTGAAAACCATAGCTCTAGAAAGGCAGTTTGAATTACACATATTTTTATAGGTTCTGATGGGTAGGTATTAAGGCTAGCCCACCAATTAGGCAAGCAAAGATCTAAAAAAGTTTTTGAAATAGTTGGTCTATCCAAGTGCCTCTGTGATTGATACTGGCTGGCCCCTGGAAAAATGCAAGGCCTAACTTTGAGCTTATGCCACAAAGTAGGACCTCCCATTTTTATTCAACGTAAGGAGGCTTCTTGTTTTATTGTAATAAACATTTCAAAGAACAGCCAGGTGAAATCACTAAAGTCTGCCTGCCTCAGTAGAACAGTAAGTCTGGTATTTGCACATAGCAGCTATATCAGAATGCTCCAAACAGAAAGAGGTGGCCATGTGAGCAGGCAGGAAAAGAAATTCCCTTATTGGTTATAAGGCTTTTGAGGGTGGGACAGAGCGAGGGCAAAGAAAGGGGGTTGCAGTCTCAGAGTGCAGCAATGGTGATCCCAGGCAGAACCTGGGTTGGGCAGGGAGAGAGACAGAGAGACTGAAGTAGGGAGAGATGGAGACAGAGAGAGAGAAACATGAGAGAGAGAGAAAGGAAGAAAGGGAGGGAGAGGGAAAGAGAGAGGAGGAGGGAGAAGGGAGGGAGGGAAGCAGAGAGAGAGAGGAGAAGAGGAGAGAGAAGAAGGAACATGGGAAAGAGTCGGAGAGAGAGAAAGAGGAAGAGGGAGGGAGAGAACGAAGAGAAAGGGAGAAAGAGGAAAAGAGAGGGAAAGAGGGAGAGAAAAGGTCTAGAGAGGAGGGGCCTAAAAATATTTCCTTAGCTGCTGTCCCAGGGAGCAGGAGCCCTGGATGTCGGATCCCTGTCCCATTCTCTCTCCAGGTCTCGGCTGCCAGTGCTTTGGCTGGAAGGCCCAGGGACTTCTGTTTTACTTGGCTTCTGCCTGAGTCCTGGGGAAGTGAATTCTCTAATTGCACATGCTCAAATTTTCTGAACTACTGCAGCAACTTCTAGAGAAATTAGGGAAAATAATCTAGACTTACATTTTAAAAAGTGGAAGTCTGATTTCTGGGAAAAATCTTCAAGCTCCTAGGATTGGCCACTGTACAGCATTCAATGGAATTAGTGGCTCCTTCTTGAAAGAACAACTATCTTTGTAGATTCTTATATACCTAATTACTGTACATCATGGTGATTAATTCAAAACAGGCACCAGACTTATTTAGAATGGAAATATATTGTAATATATTTTATCGGAGCGGAAATACATTTTACCAAACCTGCCTCTATGAAACACTATCTTAGCAAGGAAAACACCACAGATATAGACACTGGGCCAGGGAGGGCAACAGCACAGAGGCGTCAAAGTCATTGGGGGAAAAAATGAAAGTCCTGGAAGTTCTTTCAGAGTTCCGAGTGTGCCAAGTCTACGGCAATCCAACTGATAAATATTCAGCTCTCCGTTTCCTGGGGGACAAGTGTGATATGGAGCCCTGGCCACCCCACGCTGGATCCCAGTGCTCTTGGCATAAAAGCATTCGTGAGAGCACAGAGAGGAGTCCTGAGGAGCAGTGGAGGCCGCCCACAGCAGCCCTCCCTCCGGAAGGCCTCCTCAGCCTGGGAACAGCCCAAGAGCCACTCGTGTCACACCCAGGAGCCTCGGCCACAGCTGGCGCCAGCCAGGCAGCACGGTGCTGGTGCACACCTCCTCCCAGGGCCCGCGGGGCGCCTCCTCCCAGGGCCCGCGGGGCGCCTCCTCCCAGGGCCCTCGGGGCACCTCCACCACCTAGAACCTCAAACGGCTTTGAACTGGGTTGAGTTTGGACCTGGATGGTGAAGAGGAGGGACCTGCTTTCTTGTTCCCCTTCAGCAGGTCCACTGGGCACGGATCCTGCAGGAGGCATGGACTGTGTGGATCCAGTGGCCCAGGCACAGGACTGCTGTGCGCTCATACACCAGCACAGCTGCTCTTCAAGCAGGAGGAACGGCTGCACCTGCTATGAGAACAGAATTGCTGTGGCGGGCTGAGACTAGGGAACCAGGCCAGGATTTGGAGTCTGAACAGGGATTCCAAAGACATCAAATCAGCTAATAGACTCACTCTGGGCTTCCGCCTCCTAGACCTTGGTCTGCATGCACAGCAACGGCTCCCAGCCCAGGTGAAAGTAAGTAACCTGGGGAGCTCTGGAAAAATGCCGAGTCGGTCCTCTGGCTGGGGCCTGGGCTCAATGTTCTTTGAAAGTTCCCTAGATATGGCCAAAAGGTGAATGAAAAAGGCT